GTGAGCTACTTTGATGATTGGCGCCTTTGAAGCTCTAACTAAGGTCCTGTCATCAGGTGGTTAGATCTGTTACTAGGTATGTGAGTCCAAGAGTCCATTTACCTTTCTTGTATGGATTCAGCTCAGGTGTCCAGGTGGTCAGTCACCAAGTGTGTGGTGCAGGCTCTCACCTACAGTCCTAGACAGGCAGGGGTGATTGGTGTAGGCACAAGTATCTGGCTGCAGTAGGGGGTCATGCACTGAGCAAATCAGGGGGCTGACAGCTGCTCCTGAGTGTTTGGGAGGAAATCATATCCCTGTTCCCTAGAGCATGTAGGTGGGTGGGTTTTGCAGCCAGACTATGATCACCCAATGCTGTTGACTGTCAGGACTGGGAGGCACCACTTATTCTTGGACCCCTGTAGCAGGTGGCTAGGCGGCATGGGTGGAGCCACTAGTCCTCAGGCCCCTGATGTGGGTAGGTGAGGTCCCTGCTTAATGCGCAGGGCAGTGTCAAATGTTATGAACCTGTCACTCTACCATATAGCTGAAACAGTTGAAGTTAGGCTTCAAGTTTATACCCAGTTGTACTGTGGAAATGGGCCCATGCAGGACTATTCTGAGGTGAAAGGCATTCAAAGTCCATGACCCCTTATGCCTGTGCCTAGGCAAAGAAGGTTTGCCAACCCTGAATTCTTGGCTTTAGGGGAGACAGAAGATTATTTTTTCCAGTTTGTTAATTTGTTCCCTCTCCAAAGCTGGGAGAATGGCTCAAGACGCGTGACAGGTCCCACTTCCGGGCCTAGAGGACGACCCAGTGCAGAGTAGGGAGGGGTTAGGTAAATGGGAGAGAGGTTTTTCCCAAAGGGGGTGTTTTTTGACCCCAATGGTAGGTCAGACGCATGTACTTATCTTTTGCCAATTGAGCGCTGCTTTTCACTGGTTCTGGAGGTGTAAGTAGACTCCTTGCCCTTTTGTCTCTCCTGATGTGGAAAACGCCTCCTGAGTGCCACTGCTTACCTCACTGTGCACGCCAGACTGTCCAGCCTGAAGGGTGCCGGCTCCCGCTGGGTCAGGTCTGGCAACTCCTCCCTGCTTCGAACTGTCTCTCCTCCCCCCGCCCAAGTCTGATTCCTCAACTTTCCCTGTGATGTTCAGGGCTCCTAGATTGTCATATATAATTTATTCACTCATTTTTTAGGGTCTTGGTTGTAAGTGGGACCACAGGAAGTGTCTGCCACCTTGGCCCCACCTCTCTCTTTCTTTACCTCTCAGCAACGCTTGGTACATTTGACCACTCTATCCTCTTGAAACAGTTTCTTCCCTTGCCTTCTCTGACATCACCCTCTCCTGGTTCTCCTGCTGTTTCACTGGCGTTTTCTGTCTCTTTTCATGGCTCCCCTCCTGGCTCTTACCTCTAAATTCAGGAGCTCCCAAGAGCTTAGTCCTGGACCCTTTGTCTCTCTATACAAGTAGTCTCCAACTTACTATGCAGTTCTGTTCCGATGATTCCGTTGTAAGTCAGTTCTGATGTAAGTTGAATAGTTTCTTTTTTTTTTTTAGTTTTCATTATTATTGCCTTTTATTATCAGTATTTTTATAAATTCAAGATTTTTTAAAATTGCAACAGCTTATTGAGTGCTTCATGATGTGCTATGTTCTCTGTAAAATGCTTTGCATGCATTCATGTTTTCATCTTTATAATACTCAAATACAAATATTATTATTCTCATTTTACAGATGAGACACCCAACGTTCAGGGAGCTTAAAACACTTTGCCCAAGGTCACACATCTAGCAATCTGTTAGACTCCAAGCATAAATCAATCTTCCCCAGTGTCAGTGTTGTAACAATGAAGCTGGATCTGCAAAGGCGTTGAACATCGCCCAACTTCCGATCCATTATGACCACACACACCAACACCAACACAGACTTCATTGCAGACCAGGTCATAGTCTGCTATCTGGCAGTGTTTTGATCAATAAATTGTAACACTGAACATCTGTGAGTGAACATCTGAGAAAATGATAACATCAGCAAACTACACGCTGCAACATCGTATGTAGTACATATTACTAATGATAAGGTGTACAAAAAAAAAAGGATGGTTGTAAGTATTGTAAGTACAGTTTGTCATAATTCAAATACCTCATAAGTCTGGAACTACCTGTATGCACTTGCTCCCTACATGACCTCATCTAATCCTATATATTTAAATACAATTTACAATCTGATGAATCCTAAATTTGTATTTCTAGTCCTGATTTCTCTCTTGAATTCCAACTGCCTATACTCAACTCGATGGTAACGGGTTTGGTTTGGTTAGGTATACGGTTTATCTATGGGGACATTGGTGGTTCAGTGGTAAAATTATGCCTTCCATGAGGGAGACTCGGGTTTGAGTCCCAGCCAATGCACATCATGTGCAGCCACCACCCATCCATCAGTGGAAGCTTTCATGCTGAACAGGTTTCAGTGGATCTTCCAGACTAAGATGAGACTAGGAAGAAAGGCTTGGAGATCTACTTCCGAAAATCAGCCAGTGAAAACGATATGAACTACAATGATCAAATCCACAACCTATCCTCCGGGAGGTGCAGGACCAAATTGTGCATGGGGTTGTCATGACTTGGGGGTCGCTCAGCGTCAGCTAACAACAACATCATACAATATATCTAGTTGGATTTCTAGAAGATAATTTAAACTTAACATGATCACAATAGAATTCTTAATTTTCTAACCATTTCTTTCCCAGTCTTCCTCATCTCAGTTAAGATGCCAACATTTATTTGGTCACTTAGACCTCAACTTTATAAGTTATTCCTGATTTATTGCTGATTATTCTCTAGGCAGAGCCCTGGAGGCACAGTGGTTAAGTGTTCGGCTGCTAACCAAAAGGTCAGCAGTTCAAATCCATCAGCCACTCCTTGGAAACCCTATGGGGCAGTCCTACTAGGGTCGTTATGAGTTGGAATTGACTTGATGGCAATGCATTTGTTTTTTGTTTTTTTGTATTCTCTAGGCATCACCAGCAACCCACATCCTGTCCCACACCTTATTCATTTGCAAGTACCGTGGCTTTACCACTCAAATATATCTGGTGTTCATACACATCTCATTTCCACTATTCCCATTTTAGTTCAGATCATCATCATTCTTGCTTAGAGCATCTTGCAACAGACACATAACTAGCTTCCTTGTCTCTCACCTCTCACCCCCAATATGCTCCCCAGAGCATCCGGAGTTCATTTATATATATATATATATATATATATATATACATATATATATATATATATAGCTCTCTGTGTGTGTATAGTGACATTCCTATGCTTAAAATCCATGTGGTTTAAATTGCACGAAAAATAACATATGAACTCCATACCATAGGCTTCAAAGCCCCGTATGATCTGGTCTCTATTTCCCCAAGCTTTCCTTTATCACTATAGCCCTTGTCCTGTGTTCCAGCAACCCTGGCTTTCCTACTGTTCCTGTGTGCTAGAGTGAAAGCTTCATGAAGTCATGGCTTTTTATGTGTTGTTTTTCCTTTCGTCTATGGTCTTCATTAGTGGATCGCATAGCACCTTGGACAGTGCCTGGCATATTAGTAAACACTCAATGTTTATTCAATGGAAGGATGAACGAACATGTGCGTGCCATTTTTTTCTTTTTTAAACCTCATGGCCTTTAATATACCCTTCCCGCAGACTAGAATGCTCTTCTCCAAGACCTTAAGGTCAATTTTACAGTTTGTTTTTTAAAACTCCTGTGAGTGTGGGTGTTCTCCGTTCTCAAGTCTTTGCTTCGCTGTATTCTCTTTTACTTGATTAGTTAGCCAATAGTTTAGCAATTCTGTAGGTTTTATCGTCATTAATACTTCCCCTCCTTTAAGTTCCAGAAAGTGTGCTAAGTATTTTGCACGCAAATCTTGCTTAATCTTCAAAACAATCTAGCACGGATGGGAAAACTGCCCCGCGAAATAACGAAGTCTCTGTGAGACCTAGCTGCCAATTCGCATCGCCTGTGGGTAGCTGCAGCTGGGTATCTCCTTTGTAAGCCTGAGCTCTTTTCTGTGCACTTGGTGGACCTTTGAGAAGGCAAACTCAAGGGATGGCAGAATGTGGAAGGCCAGGGTTAACCACTCTTTAATAATATTTGCTAAATGTTTCTGAAAATCATTTCCTTTTTCCAGAATGACCAGAATGGCCAAGGGGAAAGCGGACATACGGTGGAGGGCCTCCACGGCTTGGCAGGGGAAACGGAAGGGATGTTTCTGTGTAAAGGAAGCGACGGGAAACCGAGGGCAGACACGCAGTAAAATGGGTATTGACTCGTATGGACATGAAGTGTCGGGAGCCCACGAGGAACGCCGAGGTCGCAGCAGGCCCAGCCCACACACGCACTGGCAAGGTGTGGGAAGGTGTGTCCCGGAAGCCTGGCCCGCTGCAGTGCTGGGTAGTGGCACGCATTTCGGGTTACCTCGGCACCCCTAGGCAAGTCCACCGCACTGCAAACACTGCCAACACTGCCGGGGGCGCAGGACGCACCAAGTCTGTGCAGGTCGATGGGATCGCGCCCGTCCCGCCTCGTTCCCTGTGCCTGCCACCCAAGTGCTGGGCCGCTCGGGAGAACCTCACCCACTTCACAGCTTCCTGAAAGGCTGGGTCTGACCCCCCAACCAGGATCCCATCCTCGCCACCTTCGGGCTCTCAGACGCAGGGAGAAGATTTACCGTCTCTCAGAGGGGCCCGACCCTGAGTCCGAAGAGCCGCGCTTTCTGATTGGCTTAGAGCACAAACGCAGGCGGGCGCCGTCTGAGACCCGTTCTTTGATTGGGCCTTAAATAAACAGCGAACGAAATAAAGAGGCCTTCTGTCATTGGGCTATTATATGAATCTCCTTTTGGCTTGTCTGCCGACAGAATAAGCGTCTCAGGATCTTCGTCATGACGCTTAAATCTAGGCCTGTCATTTCGCACTAGCGTTACTAGTCTCTAGGCATGGCACGGGGATTACAGAGGTCAACCAATAATATAACGTCTAGGTCTGGTTGCCAGGCAGATTATGCTAATAAATCCCCGCCTTCTATGCTGCTCCCACTCTGCGGCGGGAAGAACCACCTGGAGGTGGCGGGGGGGGGTTTGATTTCCATCACCCCTAGGGAGAGAGGACCGGGGACCCGCTGATCTTCCAGCTCCCCTCACCCAACGTCGTGTAAGTACCTAAAGGATTAAGGGAACAGAATAAGCCAGGGTCCAGAGTACCCCATCGACTGGGAGGGTGTTTCGTCTTTGCTTAGTCCCACCCAAAATGGCGGCCAGCTCTTTCCGCGTTTCTGAGCCCGGCCGGGGCCAACCGACCGCGGACCCGGGTGGGGGGGAATTGATGGTGGTGGTGGGGGAGAGAAATCCCGGCGGCACCGCCCGATGGTACAGTCCAGCCGGAGCTGGGACAAGGCACTTCACTCGGGGTGGGGGGTCAAACCATCTGCGCCTTCCAAGGGGAAAGGGGCACAAACCCCTAGCGGAACCCGTCCTGGCGCTGCGTTCAGCAATGGCTTCGGCGCCTCCTCGCTCCTGCCTTCCCCATACCCAGCCTCCTCCTGCGACCACCGAGCGGTTCGCTCGCTCCCCCGGCCGCGCGCACCTCTCCTCCCCTGCCCGCATTGGTTGGGCCGGGACCGCCGTTGGGCGCCCTGCGCGCTCTGCCGCGGCAGTTGGGCGGGCGCTCGGGGTGCTGCGGGC